TGAAAGTCAAAAAATCTTAAGCCGTAATCTTTGCACACTTTTGATGCGTTTTGACATTTTTATTAGTTTATTGTCGCAAACATCCTTCCATGCTTCAAGTAAGGACTCGGCATACCTATGTAAGTGTATAATGTGCTCAAGGAAGCAAAAGCAAGAAAAAGTGCAGTTATTCGTTAGGTTGTCGTTCATTGTTGCGTTACTTTGTGATTTGCGCAAGCAGCTTAGGACTATCACACCTTTATGGGGCATTAGAAACGGTCCCTTGTTATCCAATGTTCGGCAGCTCCACAGAGTAGCCGTAGCAATTTCCGTCTCATCTCGGCGTACGCTCAACTGGCCGGCTGTTTGAGTGGAGCGCATGAATGACGGCGAATGGGAAAAGCGTACGGAACGACCTCTTAAATTGGATTAAGTGCTGCCGAATTTTGACTTTTTGCCGAACTTATTGTATTCGGTTCAACACAATTGACAGCAAAAATTTGGCGAAAAGTAGCGCATAGTTACAAATATTTGTGTGTGTGAGTGCATGATTTTACATTTGTCCACGCAACTTTTTAAACGCAATGTCCTTTGGCGGAGAGCAGCCAAAGCGGCTTTGTGTGTTGGCAAATTTTCAACGAAATTGGATGAATTTCGTGTTTTGTGTTTGGTCGACAATGGCTTTTGAGGCGTGAAATCCTGTCAAGATATCAAAGAAGGTGCGTAGATCCGGCATTATGTCATCAAGTGTGTATAAGTATGTAATGCAAGTAATAGCATATGTGTATTACATATGTTGACAGCTATTGGAAATGTGTACAAAATATTAATGAATTGCAGACAAGTAGGAAGAATGTGAGAAATTTGTGCGATTGTGGCAGCGCCAAAAATTACACGTTTCTTTCAAGAAATAATCTCTTTTTATAAATCGCTAAAGGCAATGAGGTCTAAAAATCCAAATTATGCTGGTCTGTTGGTTAGTACACACTAGTAGGAAGAGGTGCAATATTCAATTAGCAGGAGTGGTGGTCTACTTTGCAAACTATGAAAATATTGGGTAGTCGAAAAATTTTATTTTTTTTTTTATTTCTAGTAAAACTGCAACTTATTATTTTTATTTATGTTAATATATAAATAAGTAAATATTTTGGTCGATACTTTTTTCCATTTTTGCGCTAGAGAGATTATTCCATCAGTGTAAATCGAAATTTCGTAATTTCCAGAACGGAAGCGAGCGAAGCATTGTTGTGCTACACGAACTGATACTTCACAAATTTCATTGGTGGCTTGCGTGGCATTCTTCCATTTATAATATTATAATTAGAGCTTTGAAATAGTATAAAGTCACATCTATTAGCTTATTTTCGAAATTCAGGCCCCATATATCATGAATCCCCACTGTCCTCTTTTTTATAGTTGGAGTGTGGAAATTTTATCCGCTAAACCTAATCTTGTCGCAACTCACATCTCTTCCACGGAACCACCACATTAAGAATTACTTCATGAGGAAAGAAAGACTTTAAGTTTCATCTATCATACGGACTGACTGAGACGCCTAATATACTGTATATGTCTTAGTTTTGTCATAATTAGAGCTGACAGTTTTTCATTTACCGGAAAACTACCACCAATTGCAGTTTTCAACTTTTCCCTTACATTTGAAAAACGAATGCATTGGAAAAATACGTGCTCGGAGTCTCCTATGTACACTGTACACAACAGTCGGCCTAAGGTCGTGATAGTATCGGAGCAGATAGCATCCCTGAGCACCCATTGGGGTTAGGTGAAAATCTAGGCACCCATGCTGTCTATCAATCCACGAATGGATGTCCGGGATTAGTCTGTGGATCCACCATATTTTGGTTGAACTTTGCCACCGTTGCTACCACATTGTAATACGTTTGGTTCTCTCCTCTTTTTTTACGCCTACGCTTGGTCCAATCGCGCGAATTCGTCTCCCTGGATGTTAATTGGCGGCATGCTAGCTGGAACTTTAGCAACTTCGCTTAATATCGGTCGGAAAGCACTTGTTACTCGTATAATAGGGAGCCTATGCGCAGTGTTTGTTTATTTTGCATATGCTTTTGTATTTAGTGTTTGTATCCATATTAGTGGAGTATACAATAGTACGGAACTCATTGATTTTGCTATTAAAGCTCGCCGACTGAAACACACGCAGCCACTATTCACCATCATTCTTGATAGAGGATTATATGTACATATATTTTGTTTGTTTTTCCCGAAGTATACGCCAGGTGATTTTTTAAACTTTAATTTGACTCTGAGTCGCAGAACCGGCAATTTTCACAAGAAGCTAGGAACATGTGAAATTAAGGTTCCTTGAGCTTACAATGACCAGTGTAGAAGGCGACAAGTAGCCTGAGTTTTTCCCTTGGGAGACTGATTACATATTTAAATCGTTTGAGGTTAGCAACTTGGCATGGTGCATACCTCGGAGTTGTTGCCAATGCATTTCCCTACCCATTGCTTCATCATTGCGAGCATCTTCTTTATGATATTGCAATGAAAGGTTTCGGTCCTACTCTGTTGATAGATGCTGCGGAGTGGGCAAACTCATAATAGTGCTTGCCTTAAAGTCTGAAAGTTTGTCACAATTTCCACTTTTCATCTTTTCTATAAAAAAAAATGGATAATACCACGAATTCCATGAAAACAATATCCTTCCAGGTCCACAGTTTACCGATTTCTAAGATATCAGGAACATCATTGTTTTCCAGGGCATGCCAATAGCTTTTTGTTTAATACTCAGGGAGTTTTTTGTTGAGTAAAACAGGACAACTTGTAGATTGTAAGTCTAGAGTCTTTTTTCATACTAAGAATGTCTGAATGAATACATTTTATTACTAATTAGCAGCAAATTTATTAAAATATAAACAAGCAATAACATGAAAACAAAAGCAAATTGATTAGTTTCTTGATATGTACATTTCTGAGGCATCACATGCTGCCAAACTACTTCTACGTCAACTCGATCAATAAGTTGTAGTATAATAATGTTCCTTAACCTAACTGTTATACTTTTTTATGAACAAATCTTGTTTACACTGCTGGTCATTACGTTAGGCGCATGTTTACTTGTATATGCTTTAAACATAATATTCAAATGATTATTCAAACTTAACAAAATTGTGAATTTCAAACATTTTCTTAAAGGTACTCAAAAAAGTGCTTTTTTCTTGGTCATTACAATTGACGCACTTAAACTCTTCATTTTTTTTATAAGAAAAGTATTTTGGAAATACGGACTCAAACAGTGTTTTGAAGCGATCGTCGTTTATCCTCAGATCGATAAAATCAAGTTGATTGTTCGATAAAACATTATGGCACTCTATACCATGACCCCCCTTCTCGGCTGTGGTGGGGACTTAAGGCGGAAGATATCCTTAAAATTTTCAAAAAATTAAAAAAGAAATTCTTTCTAAACAATTGAAAAACTATTCAAAATTATAATCCCGAAGTTTCATTGGTATACTCCGAATATTTTCGAAGAAGTAGGTCTCAGAACCACTGCACTTCATGTAGCAGTTGTATAGGCACCAAAATTTTGAGGCTCGTTTCCTTGAAACTAACATTTTTATTCGAAATTCTCAAAACCCTTCCACTACGTACTTGATAAAATCTTCTTGATTAAAAAAAAATTAATTTTTTCATTTCAGATAAGAAGCCTAGTCAAGAAGTTGACAGCCGCAAAAAATGTCAATCAACGCAATTGTTGATATTATTAATCATTTTTATTTTGCAGTTCAATAATACCTGTTACTATACATATGTATATGCAAACTTTCGGATGTGACGGGTATTTATTCTCCTATAATAAAAATGGAAAATATTACTTTTTGACGGTACTAGTGGTATCGCTCCCTTTACGAGTAATATACCTCATCTTTAATCAAATCATGAAAATAATGTAGTATTGAAAGCCATCAGACCCATCTAATTAAGACGTTTGTCGTCAGTAAAGACAATGAGATTATTCGTTGCTGCTGAATACGGATCTCTTTTAAAATAAACCCAAGCTTTTTTAATTTTTAGTAGCCTTATGTTCCGGCATGAGATATAGGAAGTTATGATGAATACTGTGACCAAAACATATGGTATTCTACTGTACATTGTAGCGCTGCTATATTTCATCGTCAGGCATTTGCTGAGTTCTTTAAATTTCGAAGAGACCCCATTATTTGTCAATTCAAAAATTTTCGGAGGATAGGACGGGGGCGCTGCTAGAATTAACAAAGAAATCAATGTAATTTATACATAATATTTCCTTTTAAATGTTTATTTCGAATATATTCTTAATTAACAATATTTATGAAAGAAACCTCAAGCTTCTGCTTAATTGCTATTAACCGCAGATTGCCTTTTTGTTTTGTAGGCAAATATGCCGCTCGAGGTCATTTTAATGGGTTAGACAATGAAAATGCGCGGAGGAATAAGTTTAAGCCATTGATTTCTGATTATAGTTCAAGTAGCACTACAATTTCCGTACACATTGTTAAGATCGGTTAGCTTTAAGCAGCCATACAATTTTTTTTTTGAAAAAATATCAGAAAAAATCTAAGGTCTTTTATACCTTTTATATTATGAAGTGTACACTGTGAAGGGTATTATAGATTTGATTTTCTTTCTGAGCTTTCAAAATAAAATATATATTTGTAATTTATTATTTCATTGAAACTTTTCGATAAGAATTTCGCATAATTTTTATTGAACACACCAACACATTTGCATTTATATGAGTAAATATGTAATAAGTAATTTCGAGCCGCAAAATTATTTGTGGTTTTTCTGTGAAATGGATTGATAAGTACTGTGTCGACAACTCCACCGCTTTCAAACAGTACTCAAAAACAGTTTGAAGCAAGCTTTCAGTGCGAAATGTTCACTCGAATTCGCGTTGAGAAATATTAAGACTGTAGTATACTAAAATATCTGCAACTTTTTCAAACACTTAATTTGTGCATTGATAAAATATACAAAAATAAAAAAACAAACATAAAGAAATGTTAAAACATTTCGCAAAGCAATTAATCGCGATCGCTTTGGCGATTCAGCTCAGAAAACTCTGCGTAGCTGCCGACATACCGAATTGTGCATTTCGAGACACCGTTAGTCTAGTAAATATACGATCAAATACAGATGGTTCATACACATATCAGGGCTTACGCATACCTCAAAACATGACAGCCACCTACAGCCATGAGGAACTCTCCGATGGCACATTTGTTACCGCAACACCGCACATTAGGGGCTGTGCCTGCAAGCTGAAACAATGCATACAACTCTGTTGCTTACAAAATGAGCTCTTGGACGACAAGACGAAAAAATGCACTCCCAGGAATGCCGTTGATTACCCCAGAATAACCACATATAGGTCAGACTATACAGAAAATAAAAATGTCGACGTGTTTAAGGATTTCATACCGCAACAGCGCATGCCGTGTGAGGAGTTCAAAATTCTCAACAATGCACTGGACATAGGTTTCAATATTCTCTTTGAGGTAATGTTAGTTCAAGCAAAACGAATAAATTGTGTAATATTTTGATATCTGAACAGAACGGCACTGTTTACTACGCGTTTAAAGATAAATATATAACACATCGTGATTTTTGTTTAACACCCTTTTGGTACAACGAAACATGGAACTTGAATCCCGTCGAATGTTTTAAGAAAATCCCAACGACGACTTATTTGTATATTGGACGTACGTTACTAAATTACAAGAATACTTTTGGAAATTTCTTTGAAAATGTTTTATTGGTTTTTTTTCGTTATTTAGTATTTACTATATCGGTGCCGTTCATCTTGGCCACAATTTGTGTGTATTTATATGTGCCTCAACTACGTTCCCTGCACAATAGCTGTCTCGTCTGTTTCCTTAGCACTTTCGCGCTCGGCAGTTTAATTTTGTCGTCTTTTTTGTGGATCAGGTACAATTGGCAGGTCTGTCAAGCAATGGGTGCGTACGAAATATCCATGAAATTCGTCTGTATAGTGCAGTTTTTTTTTGTATCTATAACTATAAATCTTCCCCTCTGTAGGTGTCTTGTGCTATTTCTTCATGATATCTGCTTTCTTCTGGCTGAATATTACTTGTTTCGACTTATGGTTGAATATACGTGGCATCAGATATCAGCTGCAGTCGAGCAGTTCGCGTTTACGTTTCACTTACTACATGATTTATGTGTGGTCAGCGGCAGTCATTTTTACAGTTACCGCTTTAACCATTGAACATATGGATATAAGCGATGCCTGGAAGCCAGGTTTTGGCAATGGTCAATGTTTCATTAAATGTAAGTAGCTTTCCATGATAGATGCCGTCATTGCAATAATATGAAAAACTTTTTTATACCTTGAGGCAATAATGTATTTTCCAAAGAAATTGTTCAGATCGAATCACTATAGCTTATATATGGCAAAAACATCATAAGAAGTGAACGATCGGCTTTAACTTCTAGGAAACTCTTTCTATTTGTATTTCGGTGCAACCGAAGGTAATCTTATTTCTTATTTTCATATTTTTTTACAGCAAGAGATTGGTCAGCACTGCTATATTTTCAAGGTCCAAGCGGTTTGCTGAATTTATTTAATGTTTTCTTCTTCACAATGAGTGTCATAAATTTGTATCAAATCAAGGAAGACTCCTATGAGCTCAAGAAAGAGACGAGTCAGCAATACAAGTAAGTGATTTTTACAGTTATTCCCAGTACAGTATTAGTCTTTAAGACAGCTGCTTTTTCAAATTAAAGTGAAAATCTACTCTAAGGTATAAGAGTTTATCGACATAAAATATTGATATTAATAAGCAAGGATTGAACGGGGTTGAAATTATTTATTCTAGAAGCCTTCATTTCGGTTAGTTTTGCTTTTAACTGTATAATTGAACTTATTTTATCATTATTTTCTAATTAATACAAACAATCATGCAAATAGATATCACTATACAGAATTTTTAATAAAACTTCTTCTTATTAAACTTCTTAATGATTATTATTCGATTTCTTAACATTTACTGTTTCATTAAAGTTTTCAATATTTATTTAATCTAATAAAAAAAATTTATATCGATAAACATTTATGTTCTTTTGGGAATAAAAAAAAAGTATTGCGTAATTTAAGTCATAATATAAAATTTTAATACCTACCAGAAAAACAGAATGTTTGTTTTTCTTTTAATCGATTTATAGTTATCGATATTTTTCACTAACGAAAGTGTTAGAAAACAACTTGTCCAAAAAATGTAGTATATCTTTTATATGCTATACATTTCTTTTCAATTTTTATTAAAATTTTTATCGATTATTTTTCGAATTTTTAACGTTTACTGTTTCATTACAAATTTACCAGATGTTTTAAAAAGTTCACATCCTTGGTCAATATTTTTTAATGTAATAAAAAAAATATCGATAAAAATCGATATAATAAACATTTTTTTATTGTCTCATTACAATTTTAACAGATGTTTTGAAACATTTCACTTTCTTGGCCAATATTTATTTAATGTAATAAAAAAAAATTCGATAAAAATCGATGAACTTTTATTTTCCTTTCAAAAAGAGCAAATTGAGTAATTGTAATTATAATGTTAATAAGTCTTACAAAATTTTAATACCTTCCAGAAAAGCAAAACGATTTTTAATGTTTTCATCGATTTATAGTTATCGATATTTTCCATTACCGAAAGTGTGAGGTATACAATTGTGTCCAAAATCTTTTGTAGTTATATATATTTCATTACAGCTTATTAAATCTTTGATAAAAAATGTCATGATCTACTTAATAGATCGATTTTTTATCGTATTTGTTCATTTATTTAATTTTTTTCTTATTTTTGTTGCGAATATTTCGTTCAAGTATACTAATTTGCCTCGAATAATAATGAGCCTTTTTAAATAACTTTTCCGATATTATTACAGTTATGTGTATACTGAAATACTCCTGATATCCCTCTTATGAAATAGCACTACAGACATTTATCATATACGATACGTATAAATCTTATTCAAAATCATTTTGCAGGCTTTCAACATTTTTACGCTTATTCTTGGTAATGGGTGTTTCATGGATTCTAGAGTTCTTTACTTACTTATTTGCGCACAGTAATTCGTTTATCATCGTAATATTCAATACGTTGAATGCCTCACAGGGCATAATATTATTTGTTGTATTTGTGCTAAAGCGGAGAGTATTGATTTTGCTCAAGAATCAGTAAGTAATTGTCAATATGTGATTATATGTGTTAATAAAATTATTACAATATTTAGGTGGAATAAAAGCACTTGATGAGGAGAGCCTTGGAGCAAAAACCCGCTTCAGTTCTATGCAAAACGCAGAAGGAGCTTTTTATTTGGGTAACGGTATATGCTCGACAATTGATTACTACTTAATTTCATACTAATTTTGAGTACATCAATTGAGTGACGAATTGCGGTTAGGCTTAGCAAATTAAAGCATAAAAGATTACATTTTTTTATTAAGTATAAGTTGTAGGGCAAAGTAGTTGAAATTTTAATTTAAAAAAATTTACTGTAATATTTTTATAATTTTTTTTTAATTATTACAGAAATTTGAAAAATTATAGATTACGTCTCGGTTTTTTAAACAATACTTTGACTGACCAAATTGGTAAAGACTGACCGAATTGCATTTAATTACACTTGTACACTCATGCTTGTGTCCGCAATATTCAAGGCAGTTAAGATTTTCCCAGAACTTGATAAAATATTTTTAAGTATAAATGTACGATAAACTACAACAAATAAACATTCATTGCTATATGAGTCCTTAATTACTTTTATCTTACTCTACTGTCATGAGCAAAAATTAGTAAGACTTTGTTAAAAATTTTAAAATTCTCAGTTAATTATTCAAAATCCATCCAAAATCCGCTCGCACAGTAATCCCCCATGGCACAATACACATGTACAAAGGCGGAGCCAGAGTTGCATTTTAGGGGGAGTATATATATATATATAGTTTTGTGAAGTACTTGATTTGGGAATTGTGTAACTATAATTTTATTTGCAGCATAAAATTAATACGGTGTTTGCTATTTTTACTAAATATTTTCATTACTTTTTCTGGTGCCACAGCAATGTCGTAGTTTATGTTGAGGAGTATCTTTTCTGGAGCATCGTTGTTCTGAACCAAGTCTTGATACGGTGCAAAGAAGAAAATGATCCTTTAACGCCAGCATTTGTGGCTGGTAAACAGCAAAGTACGTGAAGAAGAGTATGAATCGTCGGATATATGTATGTACATATATCCTTATCGCAAGTGCTAAGGTTTTCTAAAGCAGAAAGTACTTGCGTTCTTGTAGTCATTTGCATCTTCCATTGTTATTGCCAAAGCGCTACTTCTACTTTGAGCTTCGATTTTTGCAGTTCTTTATTTCCTGGCAAGATTTTCGCAAAACAGCTAGGCATTCAATGAGTACAATTATATCCTTTTCTTCTAAATTTCGGATAAATTTTGGTAACAGCAGATTTAAATTGAAACTTTCAAGAACTTCATCAGCAAACCGCGTTTTAAATCTTGCATGACCGTGTCAATGAGTGAAATGTATGCAGAAATCCTGCAGAAGTCTTCACAGCTTTGAGATGGGTGAGTGTTTCGCTGACTCTGACAACACATGTTCTGAGCTTTAGAAGCAATCTGAAGATTTCTGAAGCTTTCATTTTATGATTTTCATCTGAAATTGCAACTTTGACGGCAGTTGTCCTTCCAACATGAACTTCGAAGCCAAATTGGGCATAATATAGCTATAAATTTTAACAAATTTTTTCAACGGAAATAATTTGAAAAAATATTGTACAGTTGCTGGTTAAGAGTATGGATTGGGATAGGTTAATGTTCCGGACCTAAGCCGGAAATGCTTCTCGAAATACTCGTCAACGCTCATCAAACATCGGAGGTGATTCTGGATCTAGTAGTTCAGAAATGGAATTCGCATAAAAATTTTGAGAAAAATATGTTTGGGGCTTTTCTTTTTAAAAAATAAACAGTTCCTTTATGGATCAGCTGCTTAAATAAATTTCTTGCTTTCATAAACATTTAAATTCATCTTAGTTATTCTTTATAAATTTTATAAACCCGCGCTCTGCTCAATCTCATAATTGAAAAATACCAAATATTACATGTACGAAGCTTTTAAGTGACTTTCCGTAATAAACTTATAGAGTTGAAAATTGAGATATGTTAGCATTATCACTAACGATAGGAACTGTCGAATTTTCGTAGCATAAAAGAAGGCTTGTCTTCCGCTCGATTTTGAAAACGACCACAGGTGCTTATTTTATACCTTAAAGCTTAGAAAAGGCCCAACCCATCGTTTCCTCGAAGCGCCTCCGCTTAAGTGAGATTACCTCGAATACATGTGCACCATATTTTCCTGACACCTTGTATCACATATATGTAGTATTTTCTATCTACACATCTTAACTGCTCACAGCAATTAGGCTTACACTATCTGCCACTGTTTATCGCAAGCTGACAAATTACTGTGTATACAAAGTGTAAAAGGAGATCGCCAAATTTACACAAACTCTGACGACAAGCTCTCTAATTGAAGCTGCATGAACCCGAGTGCAACACTGAATTAAGAAAAAATCGTTTAACTCTGCCTTCATTTTGCAAGTTGCTTGCACTCCTTGTCCAAAAATTTTGTTTCACTTAAATATTATACATGCATGCTCTTTTAACTTTTCTATAAACGCCTAAAACTTCACACTTGTGTACATTTATCTAAAGAGCTAACGGTTACAAAGTCAAAACACTGTTATGTGTTAACTTACTGGTTCTACAGATGCCTCTTTTGATGCTCCGGGCTGATATCTGATGTTGCCTGACAATAGCTACAAGTACAAAGTTTCGGTTGCACATCCACAAGCATATATATACAGTATACCCGTATGTATATACTATATATGTATACGTAAATGGATTCTCATGCAACCGTCTGCAGCCGACAATGCAAGTAACAGCCACGAGGTCCTTTGGGAGTGCGTTGTCTGTATATTCGTCCCCTACATATACAAGTAATATTCTTTGTGGCAATAAAGTTTGTATGTTGCTTTTAGCAAGTGTTTGTTGTTGCAATAAAAGGTGCTAGATTTACATTGTTTTAGGGTTCAAAATTTGAAAGGGAAAAGTTTAGTCTCAACTGCTAAAATAACTACCACATGTACCATATAGTTCAGCGTTTTTCGTACAAGTGCTCCTGTAAGCGAATGTTGGTATTTGAAAGTCAAAGGCATGTTGGAGGTAAAACCGAGTTTTAGTTATCTATCTGCCAAAACATAAGGCGTTTAAATACTTGCATTCAACTACTGACGCCCTGCAGATGGCACTGGCAAAGAGCGATACTATTTAGAGCACTTTTGGATCAAGTTTGTTCATTTCCGTAATGAGAAAGGAAATATGTACTACCGAAAAAATTCACAGATGACGCTGACGTCGAATTAATATTTAAAAACCCACATTTTACCGGGTATAATATTTTGTGGGCCGAAGTGGAAAAAAATCTATCTCGCCGGTTTCTAATTACCAATAATTTCAGTTTATAATGAAACGAAAAGGGAAGCGACAAAAAATAAGTTTATGGGTCCAAAAACAACCAGATAGGAGCAACATTGGAGCTGGACTTAATTTTAGCAAATTGAATTGATACCGCCCTATGATATGAGTAAATCACAAAGATAGTCATGCATATCAGATAAATTTCTTAAAAAATACAATTTTGTACTAAAAATGGAAGAAACGAAAGTCCACATATCGGATAGGAAAATTATTACTGTGGTTATTTTTCTTTAATAGCTGAGCCAGGTCTCTAAGAGATCAGTCAGTATTCTCATTTGATACCAAGAAATGGGCGAAATCGGTTCATAGAATCAAACAAAATTATATTCGCCCTATCGATTAATATGTATATCAATAAATTCTCAAAGCATCTTGAGATCATTACGAGAGATTGTGCTTCCAAGTGAGGAACCCCTTTGCACCATTTATGGACTCGGAAAATTTAACGAAATATCCAAGCTACCGGTTTTTCCAAAGGGGATTATATGACTTCTAAGTGTCGTGTCGGTATTTTTTAATAAGTCGTAATGTTGTTGCCGATCAGGCACGTGTTGCGGAAAATTCCAAGTTAACGATTGGGACTATCTCGAACCATAGCGTGGCGGATTTTGAGATAGGATTTGAGCTTGCATCCAAATAAAAATGTTTTCCCTCAAGAACAGAAGCCATTGGTTCTCCGTAAACGTCGTGAATTCGCTGAAATTATTTTGTCCAATGAGGTTCACTTTCTTCTGATTAGTGTGCTAAATAAACAAAACTGTATGTTCTGGTGCGAAGAACAAAATTATTCACCTAAATTGACAGTTTTGTGTGATTTTTGGCCTTGAAATCGGTCTGTACTTTTCTCGAAATAAAGCTGGTGACACCGTTACTGTCAATGAAGAGCGGTACACATCGATGGTAACCAATTTTTCAACGCCGCAATCGAAAGGTGTCGATCTTGACTACACATGGTTCCAAAAGGCGGGGCTACGTGCCACACCGCACGTGTAACAGTCAAATTATTCCTAGAAAAGTGTGGAGATTCAATTATTTCAAGAAATTTTGACATTGAATGGCCTTCAAGAAGTTTTGACTTAACACCATTCGACTACTTCTTGGGGGCTTTTGAAGTCATTGCTGTTTAGAAATAAACCAGACTCTAATTAAGTTTTGGAAGTCAAGTTCAAAGATTGATATAACAAGAGAAAACGGTTGCTTCGGTTGCACCGAAGCTATATACCCTTCACAAATAAAAGCATTTTCCTTAAAATAACATGATTTGGATCGCTTAGTTTGCGGCTATATGCTATAATTATCCGATATTGGCGTTTCCGACAAATGATAGATCTCTTGCGTAAAAATTACGATGTTCGAGCATATACACACAGATGGATAGAGGAACAGATAGGCATGACTAAATCAACTCTGCTCGTACGCTGATCAATATATTATAATATATATATACGTAATATATTATATATGTATATAAATTTTATTGGGGTCCCCAACCTTTCCTTCTGGGAATTAAAAATTTTTGGCGAATTTAATATAACATGTTCAGGGTATACGGCGTCTACTGGGTCATATCGGTTTGCTTGCACTCGCATACTCATGGTTTATTTATTCCGCAATTTGATAAGCGTGTTTTAAATGTACCATGATTTATGTTTATTTGATTGTTTAGTTCCAAAGAAACCGTCAAAGCAACACAGTCTCGTATGTGTGGGAGTTTAAGCTGAGAAATAGTTCGCATGTTCAATCAACGTTTAAAGAATTCCACTTAAATTATCGCTTATGTGCTTGCGTCGCGCTTAAGTGTTTGGTATGTGCGCCGTTATGCTGATAATAAATTACTTGGAATACAAATATGAAGTAAAATTCTGACTTGCACAAACAAATTAATACAATTATGTCTAAATCTTACGCAAGTCGTCTAATTTTGCTCGCCTCAATGCGGTTGCTTTACACCGTTCAATTTGCGCTTGCCGACATATGGAATTGTGATTTCAAAGATACCGTTAGTCTGGTAAATATTCGACCAAACAAGCATGGCGCATATGATTATGGTGGAATAAGCATACCCAAAAATTTAACTGCCAACTACGATTATGAAGAACTCGCCGATGGCACGCGTGTTACAAGCCCAGCACATACCAGGGGCTGTGCCTGTAAGCTGAAGCAGTGCATGCAACTGTGTTGCATGCCAAACCAACTGTTAGACAAGCAGACGATGAAATGTGTCACACCCAACGATCTTAGCTTGGAATATTTGCCGGAAATCGAAATATTTAATAAAGAGCTTGACGCCTCTTTAGTCGATGTAAATGAAGTTTTTATTACACAGCAGCGGTTACCGTGTGATAACTTTGCTATACTGAGTCCATGGGAGTTTGAAGACGACGCTTACATTTTATTTAAGGTAATTATTTTATGACTTTGTGGAAAAAAATTAATTATTATTATTATTTTTTTTTTTTTGTTGCTTTGCAGAATGCCTCAATATTACATATGATTAATGAAGAGCTTATACCCTATCGAGACTACTGTCTAACACCTTACTGGTACAACAATACAGTGAGCTTGAATCCCATTATCTGTTATGCGAAAACATCGACGACAACTTATGTCAATATGTCGTGTGAGTATAAAAATATATACATATATTTTTTCGAAATAGTTGTCAGCCATGCCCCAAATATTGGTTTGTGGGGAATCGAACATATAACTGATATATATTAAATATATTTTGCCGAATACCTTAAAGAAAATGTAAGCTGCAAACACCTATGACGGCAAAATTTTTTCTCGACTACCAGATTGTGGTGTATTCAACAAAATACATATTTACATTAATCAGAATATATTGGGTAGTCGAAAAAGTCTTTTCGTATTTTGTCAATATAGTATGTCGTTGCAGTCGTATATCTCTAATGCTACTAATCACATTGTATCATACCATATAGTGTTGGAAAGGTGAGATTTTAAACTTTATTTGACCAAAAAATATTAAATTCGATTAAGTTGTAAAAAGGTTAAAGCTGTTCAAAAATGAGTGAAAGTAATGAAGAAATTCGCTATTTTTTAAAATGTTTGTAAAAAGGTACCAAGGTACCAAGGAAATTTGTGAAATTTACGAAAACGATGCTTCGTGTGGCACAATAATGGTTCGCTAGCTTTCCTTCAGGAAATTTCGATGTGAAAAATGTACCTGGCTCTGATCGAACTATCGTAGAAAAAGTCGATGAGATAGTGGAAAAGATTGACCATGACCGTCACATAAGCAGCTATGACTTCGCTAAGGAACTAAACCAGCAAACGGTTTTGAACAATTTAAAAAGGGCTGGCTGCAAAACGACGCTTGGAGTTTGGGTACCACAAGAATTATCTGTAAAAAATTTAATGAACCAAATTAACATCTACGATTCTTTGCTGAAGCGTAATGAAATCGAATCATTTTTGAAGCGAATTATAACAACAGACGAAAAGTGTATCAAATACAACAGTGATGTGTAAAAAAGATCATGGTCCAAGCGTTTTGAAACTCAACAAATGTGAGACCTGCTCTAGCATAGTCGAACGACTGATCCCACATTTTACTTTTTTACATACACCATACATACCATACACACCTTTGATGAATCGGCAAAGACTGGGAGAGCTTGGCTGGGAAGTCCTGATGCATCCACCTTATAGCCTGACCCTGCAGCATCGAGCTACTATTTGTTTCGGTCAATACAGAACTCCCTTAATGGAGTAAAGTTGGCTTCAAGAAAAGCCTGTGAAAATTAATTTTCACAGTTTCTCGCCGAGAAACCAGTAAAGTTTTACACTGATGGAATAATATTTCTAATGAAAAAGTTATAAAAAATTGTCGTCTAAAATGATACATATTTGCTTCAGTAAAGTTTATTATAAATATAAAAAAAAAACGTTGAAGTTTGTTTAGAAATGCGGAAAGCCTTTTTCTATTAGCTTATAAGTATGCATGAGTATTGAAAACGTTGTGTAAAATATTTTCTTCCTCTTTTTCAGTCTTGGCAATATCAGTGCCATTCCTCTTGGCCACAATCTGGGTATACTTGTACGTGCCACAGCTACGTTGCCTACACAACAGCTGTCTGATCTGTTTTCTGGGTACCTTCGCCATCGGCACCGCTCTACTAAGTTCCACAGCATGGATCACCTACGATATGGAGGTCTGTCGTATAATAGGTGGGTTCCAAAATGGACCATTGTTATTTTAATCATTATACTTAAATTTTCTGCACCTTTAAGGTTCTACGTGCTATTTCTTCATGATATCTGCTTTCTTTTGGTTGAATATTACCTGTTTCGACTTATGGCTAAGCATACGTGGGATCAGATATGAGCTCCAGCTGTGCAATCCGCGTTTACATTTCATTTATTATTCGATTTATGTGTGGACAGCGGCTGTGATCTTTACCGTTATCGCTGTAACTATTGAGCATTCTAATATAAATGATGCCTGGAAGCCGGGAATCGGTATTGGACAATGTTTTATAAAATGTGTGTTTCAAGAGTTAAAGTAATTTTTTATAAAAAATATAATATAATTTGTTTTTCTAATTATTTTAGCGGCGTCAGCAATGCTATATTTTCATGGACCAAGCGGTTTGCTAATATTATTTAATATTATCTTTTTCATCTTGAGTGTAAATGATCTTTATCAAATCAAAGATGCCAACTACAAAATAAAAAGTGATCATAGCCATCAATACAAGTAAGATAAGTAATAAACCTTTAATTAATTTTTTTTTGTGAATGAAATTTCACACAAATATTCTTGTTTTTCGAGAATTGTCGAACCTAAGGAGCAATAAAAGATTTCTAAGGGGCACTTTGCATATGGTATAATTAGTTTGCCTCGAAGTTTGTAACACCCAAAAAGAAATATCGGAGACTATAGAAAGTCTACTTATAAACGATTTGCGTGCCGTATATATATATGCCAACTAGTTGCACAGTTTTTGACATATTGATCCGAAATTTTTGCCAACGTTCTTTTCTCACCAACTTGAGCATCTAGTTATGGAGTCCCCAGTTTTGGAAATTTATAGCTATACACATTGGCCGATCAAGCGAAGGACCTTGTGTGCGACAAGGTTTCCTCACGAAATTTGGCATAGATTATTATCCAAAAGGAATTGTTCTGAACGGATCACTATGAAAACAAGATACAGATGTTTTTATTCTCTTTTAAGCTATAATAATCATTTGTGAAGGGTATTCTAAATTCGGTGTTTTTATTTTCGAAGAGTTCCATTTTCGGTGCAAACGAAATTAAATATTGTTCTTATTTTTATTTAACCAGATATATAGTATGTAGCTAACAGCAGAAGAATTGGAATTACTTTTCCCAGAACTATTTTTGGCTCAGCTTTCTATACTGAATTGACAGTGCCTAGGCAGATACAGTAAAAGCGAGGATAGTAAACTGAGATTGTTTCAATAGTAATTCTCTTTTCTACGATTTTTGAAATGGTTAAAAAAAAAAATCCGACCACGTCAAGAAATATTTTAGTATAATTTTTACTGTTTTCACGAGACCTTCCTTTATCTTCCAGGTTCGCCACATTTTTACGTTTATTCATCATTATGGGTATTTCATGGATTATGGAAGTGATACCGTACATCACGCCGACAAATAATTCGATTATTTTCAAAATTTTCAATATAGTCAATTCGTCACAAGGCATAATAATATTTGGAGTACTCGTGCTGAAGCCGCGGGTGCTAATGTTGCTAAAGAGTCGGTATGTATTCTCAAATTCCAAAATATTTCAAAGTGTTTTTCAAATATTTTAAAATTTCTGCTAATAGGTGGAAGGCATAATTGTTTGGGCGAGCGTACACTGTTATATAGTATGTACCTAGATGTGAAATATTGTTGCCTTGTAACGCAACAGAGTTGATTTGTTTGTACGATAAGAAGTCATAATTTTCAAATATTTTGATCACGCAACACCAGAGAGTCAGAGAGAGTACGAGTTCATTATATTTACTGTAACATACATATGTATACTTGTACATAGATATGTATAAATAAGCATCATTAATGTTTATGAATACATTTGAATGTACTACATATGTAAGCGATGAATTGTAAAGCTGATATCATATAAGTACATAAGTATGTATCTTCAAATATATATAATATTATAACAACAAACCTCTACAACAACTTTAAGAATTTTTAAATGTTTTTGTGTATTCTTGAAACATGTTTCTGCAGAATATGTTATAATGGCTTTGCACACTTAACTGTTGTATGCATTATATAGGGTTCATATATATATATATTATATAAAAATGATCAGGTTGACGATAAAAGTTGAAATTCGGGCGACTGTCTGTCTATCCTTCCGTGGAAGTTGAGTAAAAATCGAGATATTATGATGAACCTTGGGAGACATGTTCAACGTCGACATAAAAACATGATATTATAGATTTATTGAAAATATATAAAGTGCCATAAATGGCTCATCAAATCGATGCTTTAAGTGTTTAAAGGCGGAATGTTTGCAGTCGATGTCTGAGAACTCGCAATGTCGTGGTGACGAGAGATCCGCCTTTGTTGGTTGGTTTTCCTGATTTCTTGAAAGACAACTGGCAAGCAAATGGTTTCATACCACCCAGAATTTACTGCTCCGTTTTGTTCTAGTGGTATGGTTGCGACATGTTCAGTTTTTCTAAAAAAAACAGGCAACCATTTGCTGGCTATGTGCGCGAAAAGCTTCCTTTGGATTCGGCACATTACGAAACACCCATATAGTCGACTTCTGCTTACTTTCGGGCTCATTCGAACGAATCCATGAGTCAGCATCTTTCACATTGTCATAGACTTGTTGCGAAACACCGTTATAGTATTTTTTAACATTCTCTCGACATGAAAATTTTTTTCCACAATCAAATGTTTATGAAATATTGAATGTATGCTAGTAACACGTATGACCATAGTGGTTACAATCCCACACCAAGGTCACATGACGATTTTGCAATATCACTTTGCGCACAGCATCAATAGCTTCCAGAATAAGAACTGATTTTGGATGACCTCCACCAAATCCCTCTTGAGATGATCTTCGACCTCGCTTGGATTCATCAAACTACGATGGTAATTGGTGGAGCACAAAGCTGAAGTAAGTTCATCGATGCATTGTTGCTGAGTTAATCCACGTCGAAAATTGTAAAAGAATAATCATGCGAACATTTTCTTGATTTAATTCAAATTTTTGGCCGAGATGAATATTTTAAGTTACTACAAACAACGGAAATAATGTTGGTATGCCAAAAAGTTGTGAGTATGTGTAACATCAAAAGTGTTCGAATTTTCGATATAGTTGTGAGTGCCACATTGTAACACTAGAAGCAAGATATACAATAAAATGCAACCTACGTAACGGTTTTGTTAAAAACTACTAAATGTGTGATACATTTTTAATGCATCTGAGATATTAAATTTTATATCCGAAATAGTACAAGGAGGTTTTATAGGAGCCGATGTCAAAACTTAGTTCTCTTATTTGCGGACCCACAAATATGCCCTTTTTAATTTTTGCTTCACTGACTCTTGGAAATTTTTGTTTCAGGTACAAGAACCCTTTTCCATTTATGTCCATTGCCTCAACAAAATTATTCATTAAACGCAATTCCATATGCAAAGGTGGTAGTAATACCTTTTTGGGATCAACTAAAGGTTCACTGGTAACTTTTCTTTTTTGTTTTTTTGTCCCGGGGTGAGTGCCTGACGTACCGGTCAATGTTCGGAGTAGTCATGTGAATAGCCAGAAGTTACACGAAAGTAAATCAGATATTAGTTGAAAATGTGGCGAAATGATCACGAATAACCAATGCACTATGAGATGGTGCATGTCACTAACAGTATTACCAACTTACAGAATAAAAATTTACCGATTCAAAAAAACATGCCAAGTATAAATTAATTCAAATTAATTCACCTTCCAATTTGATCAGAATAGAATTGTAAAATCTAAAGACGTAGGTTACAGAATATCTGTGGGTGACAGAAAAATTCTGTTTTCATATTCGACTTCAAGGTATCAAACTGCATTAGAAACACCTAAGAATTTTCATGTAAAAAATAATGTGTCTACTAGTGTTGTGTAAAATGCCATTAATCAGTAAATAGTCCAAACGAATTAAATTTTACAAATGTGATGATACAAGAGGACTTTATAGAAGCGGATGTCAAAAATGGACGATGAGGGTGTGACACCGTCCACCTTTCAGTGTAAAGCCATATCTCAGAACCTACTCAACTAATACAGCTCAAATTTGTTACATAATGTTACCTTAATATTCCTATCTTCCATTGTGAAAATAAGCAAACTCGGAATAGAACCACGCCTACTTCCATATAGTTCAAATGTACATTTCATCTGATTTTTTCACTACCCGAAATGCAAATGAAGCACCAACGTGTGTATCGGGATAAAACTTTGCCCGTATGGTGCCTTTAAAGTAGACCACCTTGTAACCAAAAAGTGTCAAAATCCGACCAAAGCTATTAAGTCCTCCGATTCCATAAATATGGAACATTGACTAACTTTTTATCGAAAATATCAGTCAAGCTGTGCGATATATTATGGAAATTCGCTTATATGACACAAATCGGTTAAATCGGATTAATAATTTCTTTGTATTGACTAGAAAGATTTTCTTTCTTCTTCTTCCAATTTACTGTGTACCGCATATTTCTGCGGATGTGTGAGTTGTTTTAATAAAATTGGGGGATTTTTGAATTGAAAATAATAAACAGGTTTTTGCTCCTACAAAAATGTGCGTGAACTATCGACAATCACTTCAAAACTCTTCATCGGCATCAAAAACAGAAGCAAACCACCGGTGACACCACTTGCTAGCGCTACCACTCTAAAAATTTGAGGTTATGTTTAATATGTTGCCAACATGGTCCACTGAATGTTGAATATTTGCATTTCTGAATGAAATTTGTTTACATTTGCGCACTTTTCCATTTAGTAGCTTTTGCTGTTTATGCCATGTTGCATGTTGTTGTAACCATTGAAGCGCTCAACTTCAACCACATCAGACCAGCTAACAAGGCAAAGCTGTGCGTGGGCTTCGTGTAGTAGTGGGTGTAGGCCTTAAATGCGGCTTGTAACTGGATATTACTAGCGGCAAACAAAACCAGCATTAATGTTGTTGCCATCACCAACAAGGTTGTATGTTATGTGTTGTTCTGCTGGTTTTTGTTGTACTGTATTGTTTTTTTTAGTTGTTGCGGCCGAAAGAGTAGTGAGTGTTCATTTTATTTGCATTACATTTGTGCAATTTCGGTTATGTAGCTGGTTAGTTAGTGCATTTGTTGTTGCCGTTGTACTTATGCTGCACAACTGCTCATTGTTGTTACTTGTACTTTGTTATGCTGCATTTGTTTGTTGATTGGTGTGCTGCTGGTTGATTCTTTTGAGCAAGTCAGTTTGGTGTTTCGCCTTTGGCAGAACATGCGGTCTTTTGTTGTTGCAAATTTTCCCAGTTTTTGTTGGTTTTATTTTCAGTTGCAGATCTCGTATTTGTTTTCTACGATTTCATTCAGTGTTTGCAAAAATGTGGATACAAAGATATGTAAATGGTGAAAATTTTTAGTACGTGGGTGTTCTTTTATTTTTATTGTTATTTTAGATTCATATTTTGTGGATTTTGGCAATTCCTTATGAAAAACAAAACTTGCTAGTCAATAATATTATATACAAGGTGCCTTCCAAAGTAAACAGGACTTAAAAAAAAAACAGAATAAATGTTTTTTTCTGCAAAATCAATTTATTTTATTCAAAATAGTCTCCTTCTGCTTCAATACAGATTTTTGCACGGTCCAAAAGCATGTCGAACGAGTGTTTTAGCTGGTTGGCCGGTATGGCAGCATATTCCTTTCCTCTCATGGGCGAATGCATTTTTCCGAAAAATGCCATATCAAGTGAATACGGGAAGTGGCTAATGGATAAAAAGTGTTTTTGGCCAAATAATCGGTCGCAAGCGTCGTCCTTCGAGTGTTGGATTCTGATCAATTTTTATTCGTAGGTTAATTAGTGCGGAACAAACCGTGCAAACACGTCATAATGCAATAATTCGATGTTTTGGAGATGTTCAATTCCATTTCCATGAATTTTAATGATGATTTCGACTGATCACGTATTTTGATTGGCCCACATGTTGATCGTCTTTTATGTCCTCACGACCACTTTGAAAACATTGAAACCACTCGTGCACTCTGCTACGGGATAGGAAATCATCGCCATAAACTTGTTTGATCAATTGAAACGTTTTGGTAAAAGTTTAACCAACTTTAAAACAAAATTTAGTGTTGGCTCTCAGTTTGAAGCTCATTTTCGCATCGATAACACAAACATACTGACACTTAAAACGCAATAACTTCACTTCCAATCAATGAAAATGTCTCACTGGACAATCGGTAAAGATAGCAGATTCTAATGCACTAGTCAACATATAGATGGCGTCACCAGGGGGAGCTAGATTCAAAAGTTCCTGTTTACTTCGAAACACACCTTGTGGAATCGAATTTGCTTGTTGCACTTAAACTATTTTCTTTGATACCCATGTGTTTGAAAACTTATATAACATATTTTAATGAAAAACGAAAAAATATGTGAGAAAAAACAGTAGTTGAATGTTTTCTTTATCTTGTCATTATTGCTTTTTTCATACTATTTTAAGTATGTATGAATGTTTAGGTAAAAGTCGATATTACCGGCACAAACTCAGACTTGGTTACCTGACTTGACTCCGAAAATAGTTTTAATCAGAATTTCAACGTATTTTACAATGGCATAATATTATATAAATTCGTAGTACTAAGTTCTACTAAGATCACTTGACGAGTTTAATGTTAGAAATTAGACTGACTCGAATACGAATGCTCTGAGAATTATTAAGTGAAGCAATAAATGACCCATCATTAGTTTAGGAAATATACTACTTAAATAATGTGCTTGGTTTCAGTCTTCTTTTATACAATACATCATCTCAAGCCGTGATATTAAATTTAAAATAATTTATTAATTATCACTGATCTTACTTCATGAGTATGGTAGGTACGTAGGATGTCCTTTGACTTTGTGAAAC